GAAATCATGCACAAAACATAAATGATTGATACCGACACGATTGAATTATAAATAATTCCAATTTTTTTTAATATTTAATTATTTTAGCACTTCTCTGAGGCTTTCCGATTTTATTTTAAGCAAAACACATATGTATAGTGTGTTCACCAGGAGTTGGCACTTGGCCCCGCCTTCATCACGTGGTATCCGACGATACTATTTCGCTATTTTTCGGAGAAGGATGTGAACAATCCTGAACAAGGTTGCTATTTGGCGATCATTATGACAAAAATATTTATTTCGCAATCTTTAGGTGCATTTTTTTTAATATTAAATATTTCATAAATTTGACGATATTTCTCTCCTTTGAGTGAATTGTTTGTCCATTTTGAGACATTTTGCTGAAAAAACAGCAGCTTTTAAGTTTAAAGTATATTTAATTAACCAGAGTAAAGAAAGGTATAATAGCAGATTATAAGGCGAAGTAAGTGACTGAAAAATAATTCACTGTTTGCGTTTGGCGCGCATTAAGGGTTGTCTCATTTTCAAGCACAGAGATGTTTCTCTTCTTATACCAGCGCTGAAATGCACTCTGCGTCCGAGGAGGTGGAGCCAAGGGCCAACTCCTGGTGAACGAACTATAGCGTCTCTTTCAATCAAAATACAGATCAATTGTGTCAGTATAGTTTATAGCATGATATGCTATTGCTCACTACAAGTGACCGGAAGTAGCACGCTACAATTAGCGAAACTTCTGGCGTCGCTACTTTTTTCTGTAAATTATAGTGTAGTGAGTAGTGCGATACAAAAAAACAGTAGTTTGTAGCAATTCCTGGTAACTACTTTTAACGTTAGTTAAATAACGAAACGAAGTTCAAACGCAGTATTTGGAATCTGATTGGTGCAATTCCCTTGCGGGCCCGTCAATGTACGCAATGAGAATGCCTCTGTGGCCAAACGCTAATAAGTCTACGTCTGATGCTTACAAAAATCAGTCGAGTTGTACCTGATAAATCGAATAAAAATGTTTTATGATTTTCTTGTGGAAAAATTTATATCATTCATATTTTATGAAGTTATTTTCTATAATTTTTTAGATGTATCGTTTTAAAGTTGAAAAATAAAACATGAAGTGGCGATCATCGAGAATGAAGGTTAAAAAAAAATTTTTTTTAACTATTTAAATAAAAAAAAATTAAGATGTAAAAAAAATTATAAAAACTGTGAGGACTTTTGTAGTCCGTATCATTATCAGAAAAATACCTTTTTACACAGTTCGAAAAGGTTTTTATTTACGCAGGTTATTAGAAAATACAGCTTTACTATTGTAATGAGCATATATTTTGCTTCGATGGAATGAACTTCTAAGACGTGTTTTGCTTAATCTAACAACGTAAAGTCCTCGTGAAGATAATAATAAATAAATAAAAATTGGAATCATTATGACTTTATTTATGGCATCGGTATGTACTTTTCATTTCTGTGCATGATTTCCTAGTGTTGATTAAGATTGATTTATTCATTTTTCTTTCTCGTACGATTAAGGGGAATCAACTGGTATAAAATATAATTTATAAATTCTCTAATGTTGCTAATTTGCATTCATTAATATCATTACATTCCTTTATTTATTTATATTTAACTAAAGAATGTTTATTCATTAATTAAAAAGTTGAAAAAATAATTTTCCCTCTTTCCCTAGACAAACAATTTTTTTTTAAAACTTTATTTGTTTCATATAACATGGAGTCATTAAGTATTTATCAAAATCCTTCAATTCTTCTCTTTTGTTTGTGTCGACAACATGAAAAAAAATAGAGATCATTAAAGGTTATTTAATTGAAAAAAAATAACACGATTCCGTTTATTTGTCGAGCAATTAAGATTTTTCTTCAAGAAATGCCCCGTTGAATTCGTTGAATTAAAAATAAAGATGGAGACTGGGGGGGGGGGAATTTCCGAAG